AACAAAAAAAAACACACATGCACACGAACACTTTCACTTCATAAAATGCTACAAATAATTTAATGTGAGCAAAAATACTGATATTAACTTAATGCCCACGGACATTATCTTGTTCTTTTATAATTGGGGCTTGACACGACAACGACCTTTAGCTGTAATGTGTTCATTAGAGTCATTGTCCGACTGGAGATCAGCCTCTTTCTGCAGTCTCTCCTCTGAACCAGCTGTTAGATTGTGAACATGTAAAGCAGGGAGGCTCACTGCTGACATTTAAATATCTATGATGTATACATACATATATTTAGATATTTTTTTCTTTTAATCAGTGTTGGAAAATGGGTAAAGAAAGAAAACAGTTTCAGTTATCCTACTGTAATAATGCAATGGTCACGATGTTTTTTGGACAACAGATTTCTCTCTGGACTCATTATCAACAGCAAAACTATATCAAATGTTCCAGAAGATTACATTTAGAAGAACGCACTGCACTGTACTTTAAAACAGCTGCACACAGTTCTAGTGAATGTTTATATCTTTTTATTGGGTAAGGCAAACATAAGGTATTTGCAGTCAGTGTCTAATATTAAAGGAAAACACTGCTTTAAGTCAAAACCTGCTATTTTACTCAGCTTTCCTATGTTGATGCTGATGTGTTACTTGTGACGTCCAGCAGGGGGAAGGCTGACACTAAGGATCAATGACTTTCCTTCGCAGAGGGATAATCATGATGGATAGAGTAAGAATGAGATGAATCTCTGAAACAAAGTGCTTCGATCACATCACTTTATCGAGCAAGAAAAAAAAAAATAGACTGTAGTCTCTACTAGCACTGACAGAGACATCAAGCTGACGGACACTGGGGCCGTAGAGGTCAAAGTGATCCGCTTTTAAAGTCTCTCTCCAGTCATTGATTAAACCCCTAAAAAACACATTTCTGTATCAAAGATGCACATGTAGGAGTTCTTTTTCTCTGTGATGATAATCCTTTTTTGTTTTTTTGTCTTAAAACAGATCATAATGGCAGGTTGAAGTATTCAGTCATACATGTTCAAACTAGAAATGGATTCTAAAGAAAACAAAGTCTCACCCTGCAAGCTGACCGGATTGGTTGCTCAAGTTTGTTACATACGAAATGCTGGAAGTCTGAATCTGTGTGTTTGAGATGGTTGTCTGTAAACTGCAGTTTCAAGATGGAAATGCTCAGCCTTGGTGTTCATTGCTTATTTCACTCATGATGGATCTTCTACCGTATAAAAGAAAACCCTCAAATGAACATGTTGCCAAGATAAAAAAAAAAAAAGAGAGAGAAAAAAAAGGTTTTCATTAGAGAGGGGTCTTTGATGTAGCTCTATACATCCATCCATCCATTATCTATACACCGCTTAATCCTCACTAGGGTCGCGGGGGGCTGGAGCCTATCCCAGCTGACTCAGGGTGAAGGCAGGAGACACCCTGGACAGGTCACCAGTCTATCACAGGGGTCACACTTAGAGACAGACAACCAAGCACACTCACAGTCACACCTACAGACAATTTAGAATCACCAATTAAGTTCAATACTGTGTGGAAGGAAGCCGAAGAACCCAGAGAGAACCCACACTACATGGGGAGAAGATGCAAACTCCACGCAGAAAGACCTCACCGAGGTCGCGAACCGGCGACCTTCTTGTTGCGAGGCAACAGTGCTAACCACCGAGCCACCTTGCAGCCCCACCAAAATAACCCATCATATTTAAAGTTAGAAAAATAACATCTTAACTTATTCATGAAAGTTTTCTGCTCAAAAGCTCTGCCAGTTTCTTCAGGACTGGTTTAATTAGATTTGATTGGCTTTAAAATATCCAGCTCCAAATGATTTAAAACGCGCACATGCAAAGCAGAAAGCAAAGCATTCCGTATTAATAAAATATGATGAGAAGCAGTGGAGCTCAGTAACAGTGTTGGCTCTCTTTAATAACTCAAAACCATTGAATTGCTGACCCCTGCCTTCAGGTTGTTTCATTCCCACAGTAGCTCCTGCCCAGTAGCAATATATCCCTCTGAAATGCCAGCAGTAATTACTCCTGTGCTCTGAGACAACCTCTAAAATGAAAGAAAGCAGATGGTGATCATGCTCAGTGTCCGTTTCTCTGTCTGTCTGTCTCCATCTTTAGTCTGCACGTCCCGACCGTCCTCTACGTCACTGTTACTGGAAACCTCTTGAACTGTGCTGCTGAATTGTTGGCAGTTGTAGCGAAATTTGCTCACAGTGGGGTTCAAGGTTTTTCTATTGTGGTTCTCCGTGTGTGTGTGTGTGTGTGTGTGTGTGTGTGTGTGTGTGTGTGTGTGTTGCAGTCAGGGCCATCAGTGTGTTGTCCTCTTATTAGCCACCCCCTGCTGCACCGTCATAATTACGTGGAAGGGGAGAAAAATAACAGCAGGTGGGAGTGGGACACACACACACAGACACACACACACACACACACACACCTACAGAAAAATAAGGTGTGTCACTATATTACAGCTGAAGTCTGCTAAATGGAAAAGGCTAAGAGGTTAACTGGACTGCCATGTTATCAGTGTAAGCTTTATGTCAGAGCACTATATTTGTGCAATACACACACAGACACACACACACACACTGGTAGGTTAAAGTGTATGTGTACGTGCATTTAAAGGACCTTCTCCTACCATTTTGTATGCTGTTTTTAATGTGATTTTATATTTTTTTCTGTTTCGTACCAGCAAGTTGCACCATCTGTATCTTTGTACAGCGCTGAGGGACTGTTGGGTTATTTATACTTTATCTGAAGCCCCGGCAACTGGACTTTCTTGTCACCCATAACTGAACTGCATATTCCACGCCATGCTTGAGGCGAAGACTGTCCAGTGTTATAAACGGATTCCACAGATACACAGCAGATGCACTGAGAGACCTTTGAAGGGCCTCCGAGGGACAAGTGTTATTAGCATAAAGGAAGACACTGGTGCGAATGTGGGTGGATGTGCTATTACTTGATCTCGTTGGTCCTGCTGTTGATTCACAGCAATCGTGGAACAATAGTTGAACCAACTGCTGGATATTCCTTCTTATGAATATCAATCATTTACAGACCTGTAAGTACAACGACTTGTACCAGACTGGCTCTAACTTTACTTAAAGATACATTAGTCAGAATAAGGCAGGGATAACTTTTAATGTAGTTGCTAATTAGAGTTACAGTATTTAACTGGAACAAAGGAGTGGGCCTATTGGTCTTGGCCTGATTGCCAAGTGGAATAATTGCAATTGTAAAGCAGTTGCAACTGTTAACTTAATAATAATAGCTCCCCAGGCTTCCCTCTTTGTTATTTTCCTGCAACAAGAATAGCTGCACCACTACAAAAGTTTGCATTATTAATGATTTCCCAGCAGGTCATATAGCAAAGTGTGGCCTTCAAGCTTGAGCTGACAGTTTCATAATAAAATACAAGAGCTGCCTGTCATACTCAAGCACCTCTTTAAGCTCAGTTTATATCTTAAGTTGGTTTTGGAAAACATCATTCATGGTTTCTGTACTGATGAAGACTCCTCCTAGTCGACTAAAGGACGGTAGCATTGACCTCACTCATCATAAAAGGCTTTTGAAAGACTGGTGCCTGATTCCCAACAGCCACTGATCAAGATTTTAGTTTGAGCCCTATCTAGATTGCCTGTTAACAGTTGACGGTGCCGTCATATACCTGCTTCAATGAGCTTTCACCCATCTATACAGGGAGTGCTGTCAAAATTAGCTCCTTTAATTTTTCCAGTACCTTTCACACCCTTCGCCTGCTCTGCTAAAGAAAAGATGAATGTCACACAGGTTAATACTACTCTGTACCTCTGGACTTTAGGTACAACAAAGAGATTTACCACCTAGAGAAGTCCTCCATTGACGCTGCAGATGTTGAATGCATCAGATGCTCCTTGCGAAGGCTCCAGTCCTTGCATTTGGCACTATGCTGCAGATGTTTTGAGTCTGTGGTGGCCATTTTCTGCACTGGGGCCAAAAGCTGAGGATGGGCGACACCAAAACATTCAATAAATTCATTCATACAACCAGGTCTGTGCTCAGGGTGGAGTTGGACACTCTATTTACAGCAGTGAAGAGAAAGAGGATGTTGTCAAAACTCCTTTCCATCATAGACAACTTCTACCACCCTCAGTATGTTTATTCACAGAGTAATATTGACAAAAACTCGCAGGAACTCGGAGCAGGTTTGTGGTGGCGTCAACATTTACAGGATTGGCTCCATATCAACCCTTTGAGCCATTCTGTTTCCACTGAAGGACCCAACAATTTCAACCTTGTTGTTAACTCAGAGTGTTCCAAAACAACGCATAGAAGTCTGGCTGCTGGACAAATCTGCAGTCCCATGAGCAAATAGGAAATATAATCAATGGAGGGTTTAATATGTTAGCACTTTTTGTAAAATTTACACTGTTGATAGCAATGAGGACATTGAAAGGGCAGAAAAGAGCTCCTTAGATGTGGTGACAATGGAGTGGGTACTTTTTATAACCCAAAACATCCCTTAAAGAGATGCTACAGGGGACCTTCTTGCAATCGGGACCTGTACAAAGTTTCAGGCCACTCTTGACAGTCTGCAAGTTCTGACTATGGAAAACAACCTAAAACCCTCCACCAAATATCACAGAAAGCGTTTTCTCGCTGTGGCCATCAGGCTGTGGATTTTTTTATTTTCTTTCATGACATTTTTTTATTTAAGGTTCTAGTATCCAAAATCTTTGCAACATAACAAAAAAAAAACTTATTATCATGTTCTCGTTGTTGCATTTCTGAATGTGATTAATGTTCAGAAGTGAAGGTCAAAAATACGAGCACTGAAGCAGCTCCTGAAGGCACCACGTCAGACCTCGGACAGGACGGTTGGTAACCTAGCAACCTCAGGCGCTCTGCTCCGGGTCGCTGGAGTTCAGCTCTAGGTTTCATTAGCTTTATCTACAGTGTCACTAGTTTTTTCCTCCTCCAAACATCATGGACGTTTCGCTTGAGGCACAGACCAAACCTCTGGCCGTCTTGTCCGCCTTCAGCTACATCCCTCCACGACGAAAAGAACCAAAAGAAATGACCTACTTTAACAGAAGCTCAAAGGTAACACTGGAGGTGGAATTTAGCTGCTGTGCTAATTTAAGATAATCTCACTGGTGGCTAGCTAGTTAGCTTTAGCATTTTACCTCAACTTATTACAATATCACAACAGACAATATTCAGTTGAGTTTCCCCACGGAGACTTTTACCTGCAACTATTTTTTTTTTTTGGTAGAGGAGGCAAAGAGAGTTCAAGAAGTTAGTGAATGCTACCTGGTTAATGCATGACAGTTTGCCAGTGATGATATGATATATACACGTATCACAATATAAAGTGTGTAGGAGGAAATTACAAACCTTTTTTTGTTTTGTTTTGTTTTGAAACCCGAACCCAAAGTCATTTAAATGGTCAACCACAGCACTGTTCAGAGCTGCCACTGGTAACCACTAGTTTAAATTAACTAAGTACATTTACTCAAGTACAATACATAGGTACAATTCGAAGGTACTTGTACTTTGCTTGAAGAGTCTGGTTTTGTGGTAGGTCTACTTCCTTCTTCAACTCCACTATATTTCAAAGGAAGCACTTTTTACTCCTCTACATTTATCTGACAGCTATAGTTACTTGTTAAGAGTGCAAACAAACAAACCTATCGTGATATAATAAAATATTTAAAATACAATGATACAGAAAATGAAGTCATGCGGCAGTATGTACAATTGTTTAAATCAGCTCTACCTCTGTCAGGTACAATATCTGAATGCTGCTTGCATGTTTAATTCATACTCCAGTCATTGATTTAACTCCTAAAAGCTCATCTCTGTGTTAAAAGTTGCATATTATGTTCTTTTCCCAAAAAGATAACCCCTTCCTGCCTTCAAGTGGCTTAGATAAAGTCACAGTTTCTCTCTCCACCTCCCGTCTGCTACTCCATGCAGCTTGAACACACCAGCTCACCTGCGGCTCTACTCAAACACTAAAACTGCTTCATGCTCTACAATGGCAAGTTGCAGTGTTGGATTAATTCAGTCATCTGTGTTCAAAATGTACACCAATTCAAAGGAAGAATGATGATGCAGGAAGTCCCACCCTGCAAGTAGACAGGACTGGTACATCACATTTGTTACATATGAAACCCTACAAATCTGAATTGATGTTTTGGAGATTTTTTATGTATACACTGAAGTTTTGAAGTGGAAATGCTCAGCCATGGTGACTGCTTATTTCGCTCAACTATCCATCCATCCATCCATAGATGGCGTGAAGGCAGGGGCCACCCTGGACAGGTTGCTAGTCTATCACGTGGCTACACTTAGAGACAGACAACCAAGCACACTCACATTAACACCTATGGACAATTTAGAATCACTGATTAACCTCACCATGTTTTTGGACTTGTGGGAGGAAGCCGGAGAACCCGGAGAGAACCCACGCTGCACGGGGAGAACATGCAAACTCCACATAGAAAAATTGTTCAACTAGCATGTATATATATATATATATAAAACACCATATGGACATATGAACATGGTAAGAAACTTGATTTTCACTGGAAGGGCTTGTTGCTGCATCAGTAATAATGTAAACACAAAAAGAACACTGACAGTCCAGTTTGGTGTGTAATATGTCCTTTCACTTTAATACTTTAAGTACACTTGGTTGACAATATGTACTTTGGTGATGTAAGATTTGGAGTGTATAACTTTTACTTGTAACCAAGTGTTTTTTTAGATAACTCTTTGCTACTTTAACAGTGGTTAGCACTGTTGCCTCGCAGCTAGAAGATCCTCGATTTGCGTTCCAGTTAGGATGCCTCTCCCTCTCCCTCTCCCAGTGCAGTGTGGGTTCTCTCCTCTCTCTTCTTTCCTCCCACAGTCCAAAAACACGCTGAGGTTAATACGTGTGAATGTGAGTGTGCTTGGTTGTCTGTCTCTCTGTGAGTGATAGACTGGGGACCTGTCCTGAGTCAGCTGGGATAGGCTCCAGCCCCTCGGTGATGAGGATTAAGCAGTGTATAGATGATGGATGGATGGTGTACTGGGAGTAGTGGTAGTAGTAAAGTCTGACAGCAGCAGGAAGGAGCAACCTGTGGTATCTTTTTGTCACAAACTGCTGGTGAAGTAGCCAGTCACTGAAGGAGCTGCCCAGTGCTGTTAGAGGGTCCTGCACGAGGTGGGACAACAAGGATGAAAGTGAAGCCATCGTCCTTCTGTCACCCACCACCTCCACTGGGTGGAAGCGGCATCCTGACAAGACCA